ACACACACACACACACACACACACACACACACACACACACACACACGTCAGTGCTCTGAAAGTGAAATACTCGACAAAACAACAATAACAGTAAGTAATAATTTGTTCTTCTTGTTGTTTAGTCATTTCAGTCACGTCCAACTCTTCATGATTCTTTTTTTGGGAGTCTTAGCAGAAATACTGAAGTGGTTTGCCATTTCATTCTCTAGATCACTTTACAGATGAGGAAACATGCAAACAGGGTTAAGTGCATAGCTAGTAAGTGTCTGACACCAGATTTGAACTCAGGAAGGTTAAGTCTTCCTGACTCCAGGCCTGGCACTCTATTCACTTTACCACCTACTTGCCTATTATTTACTATAGGCAAATCTTAACAATTTGACTTGTCACTCTATGGTCAATGGTGGTTTTGATAACTAAAGCAACTTTCCAAGATCACCATTTAATACTATGCCCAGTGAAAAGAGATGTTATAGCAGGGAAGGAATCCTCTATGGTAATTATTACATTTTATATATTTTTCTTTAAAAATGCTGTCTCAAAATTAGATTTTTTGTTTTGTTTTTGCAGTCCTATTTATGTATATCCTTTAGTGGTAAAGCTGTATTAAAAATATGAAAATAAAAAAATGATATAATTGGCATCACTATGCCAAATAATAGAAAGCTTAACAGGCTGTGGATATGCAATTTATGAAAGATTACTTAATACAGCTAGTTTGAGTATTTAAAGCAAATGCTTTAAGTATTTTATTCTGAAAGTGGAAAACTAAAGATTGATCCAGAGTATTTATTAACTGCTCTGCATATGAAACATTCCATCTCTCTCAACACTATACCTTAGCACAGGCTGTTTGTTGTCTACACTTCACACCAGACACTCTTCCTCCCCAACCCCCACCCTCCTCCTTCCTCATCTTTTCCTTTAAAGCTCAACTTAAGCACCACCATAAAGTCATTCAACGATTTCCCCTATTGTTAGTGAGTCTCATCCCATTACTGCGTATATATTTTATATTGATTTATCTATCTACCTGTTTTTGTAGAATGGGGGAAGCTCCTTGAAGGCACAGACTATTTCTCTGTTGCTTTTTTATTCCTAATACCTAGCATAGTACCTTGCACATACATGGTAGGTGCTTATTAAATAAAAGTTTAATATACGCAAACATACCAATTGAAAAGTCAGACAACTGCACTCAATTTTCTTGGAATTTCTTGACCCTCCCTCCATTACAAATACAAGCAAATCTGGCTTTCCAATTCTAGTGACTACAACAGGTTATCAAGTGACTCATTAGCTATTATAGGTGATTTACTTTTACTGGGAAAAACAACAGCTTTATTTTAAAAACAAAATACTAAGTCATTTCCCTCAACCTGGAAGGATACAAAAGACAAATGTTGAGTTTAAGCTAGTTATCTGGCTGTAATCCTTAACTGGAGAGTAGTAAAGAGCTCAGAACAGCAGGGCAAAATGGAAAATATTGATAACCTTCCAGGAAAAATTTGATTCTATGTCAGGTTTTTCTTTCTTTCTTCCCCCAAAATCTATAAAAACTTACAGAATCATCTTCCTCTTCTTCCTCATCTGCATGTCCATAGAAGTGCTGAAAATCTCCAGGCTTAGCAGGATCTCCTAGCTCATCTGTTTCTCCTTCTTCAGTCCCAACAAAGAATCTAGGGATGTTATTTACTATTTCAGGGATAGACATGGTCAGAAAAACTAAATGATCTACATGTGAACAGTAGTTAAGTTAGGATAGTGCATTCTCCCAATAGCTGGGTGACACAATGATTCTTTGCAGCTTGTTTCTGCTTACACAATCACTTGAAATTCTGATAAGAAAGTCAGCAGCCAAGTTGCTCTTTTGTTCCCAGATATCTCGTCTTCACTGTTGACTCAATTTCAAAAACACAAAATCATCAAGGTTTCCCTGAGTTGAAAGGACGTTCTTTTACCTAAGAAACAAGAATAGAAATAAAAGATTTATAATATTTAGTTTCTGGAAAAGCTATGACAGTGATATTTATGTTAGACCAGATACATGTAACATTTGTGAAATAAGTTCATTGTAAAGTTTATAATTCCTTTACTTTTATAAAAATTAGAAATAAACATTTTCTCTACTAATAAAATGAGTTTTACCTTTGGTAGGCTAACTACTAAAAACTCTAATTCCTTAACAGGAGCTGCCTAGAGGCAGCTAGGTGATACAGTGGAGAGAATGCTGGGTCTGGAGTCAGAAAGACCTGAATTAAATCTGACCTTAGACACTTCCTAGTTGTGTGACCCTGAGCAAATTGCTTAACTTCCCTGCCTCAGTTTCTCTAACTACAAAATGAGGATAATAACAGCACCTACTTCATAGGGTTGCTGTGAGGATTAAATGAAATATCTGTAAAAGCACTTAGCCAGGTAAATGTTTGTTTCCTTCTCTTTCCCCCTATAAGTTTTGCAGTCTCCTTGAATTCTTCCTATTCATTGTTTTTTACTATAACCTTCCATTTTTCATATATCATAATTAAGGTATCCAATCCCCAAATGACAGGAAACTTTTTCTTTTAGTCTTTTTGATGACATATATTTAATTAACTACTTGTATTTTGCCATTCAAACAGTAAAGAAAAGGAGATTTACTTAGCCAGAGGCAGGAGAAAGATAGTCACCCTGATATGATTCAGCAGGATTCAGCTCCCGTGTCTGAGTTGCCCATCATAATTTACTAGTCAAGCACTGGAGAATGCCTGGAGCTTTTCATGGCTATTTTATACTCAAGCAGCTAGGAAGTGATATCAAAAGCCAGAGCCTTCAGTACCCTGTACCAATTAAGTCTAGAGGATAATTTCAAACTAGTCCAACTCACATGAGGGCAGGGGTTAGAATACCATTCCTAACATAAGAGATAAAGGGGAACTTAGAGGTCATTTAGTTCAACCTTTTTCACTTCACATAAGGATTGAGGCCAAAAAAGATAAAAAGACTTGACCAAGGTCACAAAGGTTATCAGTGGCAGAGCTGGGATTCAAACCTATGTTCTGACTCCAAAAACAATCATTCTTTCTACCATACTACATTGTTGAATGACCTCCAAATAGTTAATTTGCACCACTTCATTAAATTTGATGTTAGACTGTGTAGGTTATCATTACTTTCCCAGGTCTTTCAATCTATGTTCTCAAAGAAAGTTAGTGATCTTACACTTTAAGATGCTTCCAACACCCCAATATTCTTGCTCCAAATTCCTTCATCTGTAGGTTAATAATACTAGTAAAAATTGCCTTAATGTCTTAATGACCACTACATATTAAAAAGAAATATATAAAAGTAGTATGGTACAATGGAAAGAATAATGAACTTGGGAGTCATGAACCCAGGCTCTGAATTCATGACTCCCGTGTTCATACACACACATACACATATGCATGTATGTGCACATCATACATAAATATGTACATATACACATATAAATAATAGATTTAATAGATTACTTTCCAGCATTCCTCCTGAAAAAATGGAATTTTTATAGAACCTATGAAATGAAAACATAGCAGAAAAGAGAAATATAGGAAGATAAATTAGTAGCAATTTAAAATAGGTAAAGGGTTATCAATACTTACATTCTAAAAAGGTACAAGAGATCTTTGCTTATTCAGTGTTCCATTGTTTTGAAGGCTCAAAAAACAAAGAGACAAACTTGGGGCCCGGCTATGGTTTAATGCAGTTTTGTTTTAAGAGAGTAAAGAAAAAGAAGAGGGGGGGAAAAGGAATACAAACTAGGGGAAAAAACAAGAAAAAAGTAGGAGGGTCTCACTAATCAAAATTGGGGCATATCAGAAATGTACAGGAACACAGAAATGGAAGGAAAAGAAGACATCTCCTCAAACCATCTGCCAAGACACAGACATATCTTTTTTGGAAAAATACTTTATTTTTTCCCCAATTATACATAAAAACAGTTTTTGACATTTTTTTTTTTTAATTTTGAGTTTCAAATTCCTTCCCTTCCCTTCCCTTGCCATAAGATGGTAAGCAATTTGATATAGGCTATACATATTCAATCATGGGAAACATTTCCATATTAGTCATTCTGTGAAAAAAAATACAGACAACACCCCCCCCCCCAAAGTGAAAAATAGTATGCTTTGCTCCACATTCAGACTCCATCAGTTCTTTCTCTGGAGGTGGATAGCATTTTTCATCACAAGTCCTTTGAAATTGTCTTTAATCACTGTATTGTTGAGAATAGCTAAGCCATTCACAGTTGATCATAGTACAACATCACATAGGCATATGTTATTTGAACACAACAAAGCACTCTTTACAGAATCAAAGAAAGACCTGGAGAGATATTTGAAAGATTAATTGCTTAGGGGTGATCTGTGCCAAAATACTAAAAATGGCATTTCCAGATGCAATAGGTTGCTTTGTAGACCAAAACCAAAAACAACTTAACCAGCCCCACTTCATTTGTGGTAACAAAAGATCAGGAATGTCAAGTAAAAATGAAATGAAAAAAGTGGGAAAGTAGTACCAGGTCTTAAACTATTTAAATGTGCAATAATCATTAAAAAGCAATAATCATCAAAACCATTTGACAATGGTTTAAAAAAGATTTAAAAATAATTGATCAATGAAACAGGTTAGGTATAAAAAAATCCAAAAGCAAATGAACACCTGAAAAATCTAATAATTCTAGTTATTGGGGCAAGCATTTGAAAAACACTTATAAAATCTGTTGGAAATGACAAAAAGCAGTAGGACAGAAATTAAAGTTATACAAGAATTTCACACCATATACCTCAAGAAAGCCCAAATGGACACAAACCTAGATTTTTAAAAAGTTTGGGCTATTCCCAAATAGATAAGTGGTCAAAGAACATAAATGGGCAGTTTTCAAAAAGTAAGGCAAATGTTAACAAAGCAAATTAAACTTAGAAGTGGTTCATGTGTACATTTTCCCTGAGTCAGTTGTTAAACTTTTAGTCACACCATTTTAAAGCCCTTCTCAGCTTGACTCCAATCTACCTTTACAGGTTTATTATTCATTTCTCCCCTTCACACATTCTCTGCTCCAATTAAATTGATCTTATTGTTGTTCATCTCACACAACAATGTATCTCACATTTCCATGCCCTTGCACTGCTGACCATTCCCTATAGCATATACTACTTACCACTGCCTCTTAGGTTTCCTAGATTCCCTCAAAGCTCATCTGAAATGCCATCCTCTCTCTCACCAACTGTTAGCACTCTCCCCCACCTCATTACCTTGTATTTATTTTGTGCATGCTTATATGTATATATGTTGAATTTCCATTGGTATGTGAGTTCTGTAAGGGTTAGAACTCCTTTTTCTCTTTCTTTCTTCATTTTTCAGTCATGTCCTGCTCTTTGTGACCCCATTTGGGATTTTCTTGGCAGATACTGGAGTGGTTTGTCATTTCTTTCTCCAGCTCATTTGACAGATGAGAAAACTGAGGCAAATGGGATTGAGTGACTCACCCATCGCCCAGGGTTCCACAGCTAGTTTGAGGCCAGATTTGAACTCCAGTCCAGCACTCTATACACTGCACCACCTAGCTGCCCTTCGCTTTACTATGCATTAAAAGGAATTTGTTTTTCTTTTCTTTTCCAGTGGGGTGAGGTAAGGGAGGGAGAAATAATAGGCTTTATTATTATTATTTTTTAAATGGAGAGGTTGAAGGGGTTGCTACAGCTATAGAATGTCCCATTCACTTTCAGATGAGGTCACTATATTTTTTAGTTTTGCCCAATTTGTTCTACTTCGTTAAGAAAGATCTCTTACAGAGCGAGGGTAATCTGTAAATGTTTATATTATAAAAACAAAACACATCAATGACTTTAAAAAAAGTAAGGCAAATTATCAATGAACTCTAAAAAAAAAATGAAGTTAGAATTAGGAGGCCATTAACTTGGGGAAAAAAATCTCCATAGCAATTTACTTTGATAAAGGTTTGGCATCCAAGATGCATGTGATATAAATATGTAAGTATAAGAGTCATTGCCCAAATAAAAGTAGTCAGGGGATATGAAAAGTCACTTTTAAATGCACAAATGCAAGTTGTCATCAACTACATGAAAGAATATACTGAATCACTAGTAGTAAGAGAATTTCAAATTAAACAACTATAAGGTTCCATCTCATACTCATCTGACTCGCAAAGATGAAAAAAGATGGTGCTAGAGAGAAAGGCACATTAATAGGAGGCATCATAGTACAGCAAAAAGCAAACTGGTCCTAGAGTTAGAGGATCCAGGTTCACATTCCTCCTCCGACATTTACTATATGATCTTGCACAAGTCACCTAATATCCTTGGACCTTGGATTCCTCAAAAAAAAAAGGTTGGATTATATAGTCTAGGGTCCTTTCATGATCTATATCTATGATTTTCCAAACACAGTGTTGGCAGTTCAGGAGATACAAAAAAGGGAGATTTTCTTACTACTGTATTATATTAAATACACACTTAAAACAAATCACATAACAGAAGTGCCTGGTTTTATACACAACCCTCTTTTTTTGTTCTCTGTATACTGAAATTGTGTTAGCTGATGATGAAGTCAATAATTTAAAAAAATTATTAATAGTGGTTCAACAATCATATCTACCAGTTTTTTCAGTACCCAAGGATATTAACTTTATTAATGACTTTTATTCTCTGATCTCTAGTCCAAAGGTCATTCACTTTGGAAGAGAAAACAAAAGTAGACTAAGAATTAAATTATATCAGTTAAGATCATCTCATCCCACCCTAGCAGTTTTCCTATCCTTTCTTTGTTCCTTCTCTTTTCTTCAATATAGCTTTAAAACCAGTTTTTCTAGTGCTTGGCTTTCCTTTACAGTCTGAACTCATTTTGAGCTTTAGCATTCCTGAAAGTACTTTTACAGTACTGTAACTTGTTTGTATATTCATTCTCTTTTTACTTTATCGTGCTT